TTACAGCTCACCCTATTATTACCACGACATACCTAAAATTGACACTTTCAGGAAAATACCTGCATTGGCCCTAAGCTGAAGGCTCATTGCTATGTGCAGCATTAATTTGGTAAATGATTCCATTGCAAAAGCCTCACAAATGCCTGTTTTGGGTGGGGGGAGCACAGTGAATTCTAACGTCACTGATTTAAACTGCACAAGTGAATCTCATTCAGTGCACAGCTTCGTTAAAATGACAAGCTGGAGCGTTATATATTGGCCCAATGATGCAGTAAACATCACGACAACAAACACCAAAACGCATCATCGCACGCTCCATTTGTTTGTTACCTTACAAACTTTTTTTTTTTTTTTTTTTTTTGTGAATAAAGTGTGTTGCAGTCTGACTGTTCTGGAGTCGAATATCAAAATATGAACCCAAAATAGAAGATTAGCCTGTATTTCTGTTTTCAAAGCTTATGCTTCAATCAATTCTGCAGTGATGTAACAGCAAGAAAAGCAAAATAGTTGCATTGTTTTTTTTTTTGTGTGTGTGTGCTGAAAAAACATTTGGTCTTATCCTTTTACAAAGTATTGAATATGTTCTGAAAGCCTCCGAGCCAAACAGTTCACTCAAGACAATGGAAAAGATCGCTGGCACTCCATGTTCAAGATGGCAGCTCAACTTTCATGTCGTCAAAAAGCCAAGGTTGCCTCTAGTGGGGGATAATTAAAATTGCGATGTAATCAATTTTTGACTCTTAACATTCAAGGGAAGCGGACAGGGCTAAAATCTGCGCAGAGGCATGCTAGACCCGGTGTTGGTAATTTCATAACTGCGCTTAAACCGGCATATACATTTTCCAGATTGTGAGCATAAACACAGCCAATCAAAGCGGCTTCCAGCTAGTAGGATGCTTTAAAAAAAACAAAAAAAAACAACCCGAAGTCAGCTGGGATAGTCTCCAGCAACTCCGGCGGGGTTGAAAATAGATAGCTGGATTATTCATCCAGCAACTCCAAAAAAAAAATGGAGACATCTGCAAAACCACAACCATCGAAGCTGCATTTGATCTGTATCTATTTACCGTGAGCAAAATAGCAATTTGTGTCCGTTTATGGACACACAAAGCAATTGTCACGTCTGTCGAGAGCGGGGGGGAGGCCAAACAAAGGGTTAAAAAGCTTCTGTCTGCCTGATAATCCTCCACTGTTAAAAGCCCTTCAGAAAGACATGACGTGTGTGAGGTAATCAGTAAAAGATTCAAGTGTGTCGGAGAGAGTGTGTACACCCACACACACACACACACACACACACATCAGTGAGTGGACAAAAAGGGAGGGAAAAGACAGAGCAGAGGAGGGAAGAAAGAAGGAATACTCCTCGTTCTTCCCTCTTGCTCAACCGCCTTTTCACATCCTCGCTTGTTTGCTTACTTCCTGCTACCTCAGTGCGACGGGATGGTCATTCTTGCAGGTTTTAAAAGTTCGCGTCGCTGATCAAAAGACAGTGAATTGGCATTTCTCCATTCTTCTAGGTGTTAAATTCCTCTGTTATTTCCACACACTTGTGGACGATGACTTGGCCTGATGAAGTCGATGAGATTGGAATGGCAACTTCCATACATTGTGACTCACTCAAATACAACGATAACTTACTTCCGAGATGCCATTTTCCCAAATGATCTTAATTCAATCTCTTGCACATTTGGCCCGAAAATAATGACCGAGTACTTTGGAGCGAGTGGGAGAAACACAAGACAGCACCGTGGAATACTATTTACTGCTGTGTACAGTATTAATGATTGATATGAAGACTGCCCAATGACTGTATGAACAGTTATTATTTGGGTCTCAATTGCACTCTGACTTGGTAAAACATTTAACGCATAATGTCTGGTCTCGTAGCAGAGTGAGTGAAACTAACTTTAAGGTTGTACGACTGCAACATAAGTGGACGGCCTAACCCCTTTGCCTCAGTGTTGGAGCTATTGAATTTCGTCTTTACATAAAAAAAGAAGAAAGCATGTGAAACCTCCGCGCCCGCACGTACGTATTATTCGAGCAGAGGGTACACCGATGTGCTGAACTGTTTTTTTGTACTCGCTGGCTGCGCACACGCTATTGTCATGTAGCGCGCACACACACACACACACACCTGAGTGCCTATTGTAGTTTGTGGGTAGTTGGCCTCTTCTCCACAGCCTCCCGGAGGAGCAGAGATGTTAACTGGCATTGTTGGGGGGCTGAGCCGAGTGATGGTGTTTAATAGCTCATGATTACTCTGGAGAGGGGAGCCCATAATTACAACCACAAATGATTTCACGCCCCTCACCCCCCACCCATGAGCTCTGATCCTAATCACAGGGAAGTACAGAAGGGGTGGAGCTGAGGAATTGGAACTCGCAGGTTCTTCCTTTGTTTGCTGACAGGAAATGGTAAACATGAAATGTTGTGGATCGCACCCTCCCCCCCTAAAGAAATGTGCACTTGGAGCACCAACATCAAACTGACAAATCAGGGCAGCAAGAGTGAACCTTCACGCACGTTCATCATTTTACGAAATGTATATGCTTGTACGGTACATCTCTATTTGCATGAGAGACAGTGGCATGACGCTTTAATGGAACTGCTGTTATTTCGAGAAAGAGCTGCAGATCATCGGCCACGAAAGTCAACATTGGCATTCTGAAGCATTTGACCCAAGGGTAACATATATTGTACAGATGGAACAAAAGGGGTCTAAGGATTGACCTTTGAGGGACACCCCCACTGCCCACATACACATGGCATGGCCATTCAATCAGACCCAAAGCTACCAATAGTCACAAAATAACTCCTCTCCTCCAAAAGGTGCCTTCACATTGCAGAATGATATTGCTTACTCAAGTGCTGTGATGTTACCCATAAGCCATTTCACATTCCCGATATCATTAAAATCATGTCTACACTTTGAGAATTGCACTGTGCACTTGTGATCAGTATAATGATTTTTTTTTCTCTTTGCTCAGCAGCAACATTAAGCAGCATGCGCACGCGCAATCTCCAGTCAGCTTCTCACCAAGCAAAATTAGAAGCACCATTTACGCAACATAACCCCTCACAGTAGGAGACACAGCTTCTGCCAGTATTCTCTAATAAAGCCGGGTGACGTCAATCTTGTGAGGGTTTATTTGTCATTGCTCCTTTTATGTCCACTTCTTTCAACAGTTAAATGTAGATTACTGGCTTCCAAAAGCGAGACAACAATAGAGGCAGAAAAAGAATGCCTTTTTTTCTGGACGTTTGCACCAGTTTAATGTCTTAACTTTTGTGATCCTCGGCATGACAGCCCACAGCAGACGTACAGCTGCAGATGCAATGCAAACGCTGAACAATCGAAGTGAGTTAGCATTCTGCCCGCGCGGCCCTTTTTTTTTTTTTTTTTTGCCCGGGCCATGCCAGCCAGCTAGGCACACAAATGAACAATGGCCAGACTACATGTCCTTAAAGGAGGTGTAGACAAACAGAGGAATGTTGGGAGAGGACGGCGCAAAAGCCTACGTCTGCCCACATCAGCCGGCCCTCAATAGAGATTGGCCAGGAACGCGTAAACTGGCACCGCGGGAGCGAAATAGTAAAATGGCTCTTCTCTTCTTCACTTTTATTGTGACTCTTAAATCTGAAAGGGAAAACGCTGGGGCCTAAACCGATTTCTGACACCTTCGCCAAGAAACTGACTCACATTTGCATTTTACTACTCCGGTCAGCAATCGCTTCATTTCAATATCACTTCGAAAACAACGAACAAGAGCATAAGCAAGGCGTGGTTTGAATTTTCATTAGCTCTGCCATTCTGTTTATTTGTAGATTTAGATTTTGCTAACACCTAAAATGGCATGTTTTCTTGATTAGGTGCTCCAAAGCTAGAAAGCACAGGTTTCAAACTCAAGGCCCGCGGAGGCAGATGTGGCCCGCCACATCATTTTAAGTGGCCCGCGAAAGCAAATCAACTTGCATGACACTTGCTAAAATGTGCACCAAAATTTCAAACTTTCATGTGTCATCAATTACTGACATATTGTAAGCATTTTCTTGTTACCAAACTGCTCATCACGGTTACTTAAACAATCCAGTAGTTGAATAAAACATCATCATGGCCCACTCCAAGGGAAACGAATTATAATGTGGCACGCGGCAAAAAATGAGTTTGATACCCCTGCTATGAAGTAACTGAAGTGCCCGAATTTAGGACTGATTTGCTTGGTAAATTGTCTTTTTGCTTTATATTATTTTGAGCCCAAATATGTGTTACAGTTGTTACGTTGCTGATTGCTTTGACATTATTTTTAAGGTGGTTGCGCGTTGACTCGTTTTATATTTTGTTCGTTAAAACCCCATGAAAATAAAAATACAACACGCCTAAAACGCCCACAGTAAAAATTCAAAACTAAGAAACACATAAGCTAGCAGAGAAACAATGAAAACAATCCAAACATGAAAGGAACAAAAACACTTGTGAACCTGCTTACACTTAAACATACACACACACACACACACACACACACACACACACACACACACACACGAACTCAACAACAAACAATAATATGAGATTGCTGGAATGCACTTGCATCATTGCATACAATTCTTTTCTGTTTCTTATCTTGCGCCGCAGCACTGATTGTTAATTATGTTTTGTCTTGAGGTGTTTAAGGTCATACACTCAGTTTTCTTTCTCTTTCTTACCCTTCTATTGCGTTTTTTTCCTTCACCTTTTCCCGGCGGAGGCATCTGATCGCGTTGTTCTCCAGTGGCTAATTTGACTGTTCTCCTTGCCAGGCTTGCTGTGGGAGCCGGAGCAGTGTGTGTGTGTGTGTATATGTGTGTGTGTATGAATGTATGTATATGTGTGTGCGCGTGGCACTTCTCCCCTGCTAGCTGCTGTTACACAACATAGCTCTTGCATCTACATACAAACACCTCACTTGCCAGAAATCATGTGCACAAACACGGCGTACAACCACAGCATAGATGTGGGTCAACATTTTTTTTTTTTAATGAGTTTCATTCATATATTTGCTGTTCTCGGACGCGTTTTGCCATCAGATATGCGTCATGATTTTTTAATAAAATGGTTTGTTGTATCACATACAGCAAAACTGGTAAAGATGATTGGGAGATAAGGTCACTATGTGCCGCCTCCTCCTCCTCCTCGCGGCTCTCCGCCTGACAGACAGACGGACAGGCATGAAGCTCAGGCGAAGCGGCGATTGGTTCCAGCAGGCAGAGTCTAATCAGCCATCAAGCATGAGGCCCTGAAGTGGCTCTCTGACAAGCGGGGACACGGCACACTCACCGCGTAATGCATATGTATCCACAGACACAAATTGCATGCAAATGTAAAGTGAAACGCGGAAAAAAAAAAAAAAACACGGTGAATATGCATTAAAGCATCAGACATAAAAACTGATGGCTATCATTGTGTTCTAATTGGACTGCTTTGAATTGTGAGCAGCGGAGCACAGCGTGCACTCGTGCAAAGGAGTGTGCTAAGCACCTACAGCTTAGAGTCACACACGCACACACACGCGCGCACACACACACAGCTGATGTCTTACCTGTCAGAGGCAGGTGTGGTCTCAGAAGACCCAATCAGTTTTAATTAACCCCTTGTGGGGGAGGTTGGATGCAGGGTTGGGGAGTGGGGAGGGCTTAGTGTGGGTGAGAACAAGAAAACCAAGCGAGGAGAAATTTCTGGTTGTCATCAGAAGGAGGCGTGGGTGAGAAATGAGAATTCACGCATGAACAAAAGGAGGTAGGGTCTTCAAAAAAAAAAAAAATGAAAGCGTAAAAAGGTGGAAAAGAAGTTATGGTGAGCAGATTTTGTCTTCCAGTTGAGTGGCCGCGGGTTTGAATTTTTGGATGGAGTTTGGATTTTCTTCCGGGGTTAGTTCTTCGTAATTTGAGGTCTTCCCACATTGTGTCTATCTAGCTGGTTATGTAGTTTTTTTTTTTACGATCTACCATCTATCATTAGTACCTATTGATTCATCCATCTCGCCGTTTCTCCACCTCTAGAGCGGAAAAGTGAGTTCCCGTGAACTGGGAACATACTGTATGTTCTTCATAGGAACATACTTGCTGAGAACCCTGTCCTCTTTGTTCTTGAAACGGCTCTGGACTTGTGGACGTTGCTCTCTGCTCTGATACATTTCCATAAAATGATACAAATTGGGTGGAAAAATCAATAAATTCCCGACAAACGTGACCCCTAACCTCAGCCATTTGGACAGCAGAACAAAAAGCCAAGTTTTCACAACTCATGCATCTTTGGTTTAAGACAACAACATCTGGGTATTCCGTGCGTGTTTATGCATACTTTCAACTGGACCATACAAATTGGGTGGAAAAAAAATAAAATTCCCGACAAACGTGACCCCTAACCTCAGCCATCTGGACAGCAGAACAAAAAGCCAAGTTTTCACAACCGATGCATCTTTGGTTTAAGACAACAACATCTGGGTATTCCGTGCGTGTTTATGCATACTTTCAACTGGACCAAGACTCAGGCCGCAACTGATGATGTTTCACAAGATCAGAAGGACGTAAGAGCAGACAAGAATGCAAATTGACAAGCGGTGTCTGTCTGTCTGTCTAACTGGAGCGCTAGCTAGTACTTGCCGAGAATAAAACTGAATCATCCATTTGTCATCCATCCATCCATTTTCCGATCTGCTTTCTCCTCACAAGGGTCGCGGCGGGTGCTGGAGCCTATCCCAGCCGTCATCGGGCAGAAGGCGGGGGACACCCTGAACCGGTTGCCAGCCAATCGCAGGGCACACAGAGACGAACAACCATCTGCGCTCACACTCACACCTCAGGACAATTTAAAAGTGTTCCATCAACCTGCCATTCATGTTTTTGGAATGTAGGAGGAATCCCTTATATTCCACTTACTGAGTACACACTAAAATCAATTTAATTAAAGCACAAACATGACCCTCTTGGTATGGCATAATAAATAAACATCGTCACCAATTGCCGCAGTGAATCAGGAGGTGTCTGGGTGTCCTTTTCATGCACTCGGCACACACATTCATTATTGAAAGGTGCGTGGTTCGAGTGATCAAGACTTGGCAGATAGGGTGTCGGCGCCACTGTCATCCTTGCGTAATTAGAGGTGACTTCCTGATAGGAGAGTGAGGTCATGTCATGACCGCCGAGCAGGTGCAGTTGTGAGTCGTGGTTTGGTAAAGCAACTGCTCGATGAGATTAGCTCACGCATCATTGCGTGCCCATCGTGAAGTCTTGCGCACACACTATTGGGGGTTGGCCTATCTGAAGGAAGAGCTAGATTAGAATTCATAAATCCATATCTGCATAAATCCTGTGTTTGTGTTTTTCGGAGTGGGGATGAAGCCACCCGACTACAGTACATGGCTGTCAAGTGTGTGTGTGTGTGTGTGTGTGTGTGTGTGTGTGTGTGCACGCGCGTAGTGGATAGCTCCCCTGGTGAGCCAAATGCTTCAGTGCTTCACAAAGCAAATCGCAGCTAATCAAATAAGAGCCCTCAGCAGTGTGCAGACATTGGGAAAAGAAGAACAGTGTGTGTGTGTGTGTGTGTGTGTGTGAAGGAGGGGTGAGGGGGTGTCAATCCAGTGACTTTAAGAGGTCTTGGATAATACACGGGGGTGGAAGGATACACACCTGCACAACCTAGCATGGATGGATGGATTTTTGTCACTCACACACACACACACACACACACACACACACACACACACGTCGGTTTAGTTCAAACATCTTTTGTTGAAAGTTTTTCGCAAAAATCCTTTATTTGGCAGGTCTTTCATTCGTGGCCTTGTGGTAGGTTTGGAAGTCAGACCGATGGCTTATTGAAGATAGACGTTTGATTTTGTTCCACTTGGCAAAAGCATGAACAAATAACTGCGAGGAGATGAGAGCTAATCCATGTTGAGTACAAAGTCCAAACTTTTGAGGCACAGCCACATCAAAAGTCTATCTTCTTGTTTCCATGGGGAAAAAAAAATGGATTCGGAATCTGAACCAATTGAAGGTCAACAAGCATCCCAGAACAGATTATGTCAGACCTCCGAGGTTCCACTGTCCAATAAAATTAGACCTGCAAGACATCGAGTCACTTCAGAACAAAAACTTTCTCAAGCTTGAATCCTAAGAACTCACACCAGGAACCTTATGGCTCCAGTTGAAAGATACTCAAGTATTTTTTTTTTCCCCTTACTGCCTGGCATTGATACTGACGCTGTGGGAGTGGCAGAGCTCCAAAAGGTGGCCTGGCTCTCTTTTGACACCCTCACCCTTCGGACACATTGCCCTGTGGCTTCATCCACTTGGTGTGGGCACGAGCCTTTGTCGGGTTGTTCTACCTCAAAAGGCGACGTGCAATTGTATCTCTGTCTGTGTGTTTGTGTGTGTGTGTGTGGCAGCTGTGTGCCCCCCCCCCCACCTCCCAGCGACCACAGAGACCAAAAACACGGGACAGGAATGTCTTTGATTCGCCAATTGGTGGATGCCAAAACATGCCATAATGACCCATATATTCTGAAACATACACAAAGCTTGATAATCTGATGACTTGGTATCCAAATGCGGGAATCTGGGCTGCCGATGGGGAAAGTTGAAGTACATTTTTAAATTCAAGTGATGGTTGGGAACTGAAGGGAATTTAGGGCTTAATCTTATAACAATTGTATCAAGTGTAAATGCCAGGAAGTAAATGAAGACACTCTTAAGGTGCTGTCCCCGCCCCACCCCAACTTCATTTTCATTACTCATTAGGCCACGCCCCTTAGACACACACAACATAAATGTGCCCTAAATGATTTTTTTTTTTTTTTAACTGCCCTTTCAATTAAGACTGGAACCTTCCAGCGAGCCATTTTCTGGAGCACTTGAAAGACATAAACCCTTGATTGGTTGTTAGCCAGTCACAGGGTGAATTCTGTGGAGACAACCACTCACATGAACATTTACACCTAAGGACAATTTAGACTACTCAATGAACCTAACGTGCATGTTTTTTTTTTTTTTTTTTTAATGTGGGAAGGCCAGAGTAGCTGGAGAAGTGCAAACCCTGCAGAAAAGCCAAAGCCGAGATTCAAACGGGCAATGGCAGAAGTGTAGGCCGACGTGCTAATCACTTTCTCACAAATATTTTCTGAGGAAAAATACAACTCCAAAGTCACACCGAACTTCAGTCGTCAAACTGTCAACTTGCATGATACATCATTGACCACCACCCACCCCCCTGGCCCCCCTTTCCTATGTTTCTCTGTCCTGACCGCTCAGTACAATGCGACTAAATAGACATCACGAATAAAAGAGAAAGATGCAATGTCAAACCGTGATTTGATTCCATTCAAAAGGCAAAGACAATATCGTCAGCGTCATGGTGAAAGTAAAACACCGTATTGCAGTGATGATGATGATACATGACAACCGTCATCTTGCCAACACAATCTGGTAACAAGACCCCCCCCACACCCCCATGCACAACACAACGGTTGCTGTTCATTGTCAAAGGAAGCCGATTCCGCAATATGCGTGAATTACAAGCTCAGGTTTTCCACGAGACTGCCCTGGAATTTCTTGGAAACATTCCAGGGTTATGTATTGGGACACCTGCCGTTGACAGGAAGTGAAAATGTCAAGTTTGTCACTTTCACCAATTTGGACATACCTCAAAAATACTGCACTTTCTTTTGCTGTCTGCTATTATGGAAAGCAAAAGGGCTGGCATACTTGGGAACTTCAGATTTTTTTTTTTTTTAGGCAGCCACCAGTGGCATTAACAGCAAAGACAGCTTGAGTGACATAGGACCATTTTTATAAGCAGCAAGACAAACAAGACAATTTTATGTTAAAGCAATACAAGACAAAATGCATCCAAAAAAATCCCAAAAATCACAAAACATGAAGCAAATGATGAAACTTCATTTGGGTCACATAAGATTTGAGCACTCGACTGAATCAAATTTGCACATCAAACCTGAAACTAAATCTGGAGGGATTTTGTTTGCGTTAATTGCCAAAGTGGAAACCCAGAAATTGAAATTCCGAACTCTCCTCCACTCTCGGAGGTCTCTATACGCTATACCCTTCTGTCGAGAGCTACTCCTCACTTCAATTAGCTGCTTCTTGTTGTCAGTCAACACGAGCGTGTGCATATTTTGTCCACGCGATTCAAAAAAATTGACTTGAATCAGCGCCTACCTTTCATCTCCTTTGGTCTTCTTTTGGTTTTGTCATGGCGGTTGGCAGACAATTCAATGCCGCATTAATGCCACCAACTGATATGGAGTACGAGTCCTCATTTCACCCAGCCTAAAAGGAAAGGGGGGGGGGAAATAAATACATCCGACTATGTAAAAGCATTTCCATCAAATATTGCAAAAACATTTCTCCAAATAATCCTATTTCAAGTCGATACTATATCCAGCCATGCAATAGTCTTTCAAAATAAAGAAAGTAGCATTCTGAAAGATGAAAAGCACCAACAAAAAAAAAAAACATTTGTTTTGTGAAGTGTGTTGCAAAAAAAAAAAAGTCGTTGCTTTGCATCTATGATCATTAAATTAGAAATACAGAAGAGCAGAAGACACAGATGATTATAAGACACCCAAATGATTAACTGATTGATGGCAGGTTCTGGACCGAACCAAATAATGTTTCTGGATTTGAGAAATGCAGGCTCAGACAAAGTACATACCAAAAAAAAAAAAAAAAATTATTTACAAGGAGCCAGGAGAAACGATGCATCAACAAAAGCGCTAGCAAAAGGCAAGGTACTAGAGAACACCAAGAATAAACAAACAAAATGCCAAAAGGGCCAATGACACGAAGCCAAAGATCTAGAGCAATAAGAAAAACAATAAAATGACTTACAAACTAGAATTTACGAATGACGAGAGCGACGATGGAGAGTGCTGAGAGGTCAAGAAAACAACACTTCAAGGACTGCAGCAAGCACGGTCAACAATCCAACATGGCAGAAAAGAAAAAAAACTAAGCAGTTTGGCAGTCGGCTTGATTGGTAAACGCGGAACAGGTGCGCCTGCAGGAGGGAACCGCCCCTTCACTCCAGCCTGGGCTGAAAACAAGACAAAACAAAGCAGGCCGATGTGACAATTGCGGGCTTGATTTCTAATCATACTCCATACCAAAACAGACAAATGACATTGCTGCTGATCAAATGTCCATGAATTTCCTCAAGGCAACTCCCGAAATGCTTTCGGGTTCCCATACGTACTTTCTAAAATCTTTGGGCATGAAATACATGTACCTATCCTAGCTAAAAAATAGCAGGGAAGCCCAGACAAAGCCATTGCTTGAATAGGAATCGTATGAATTCTCTTTATTAATTTTGTTACTGGGCAGCCCCGTGGGCCAGTGGTTCGCGCATCGACCTCACAGTGCAGAGGTACCGGGTTAAATTCCAATTCCAATTCTCCGGCCACCCAGTGTGGAGTTTGCATGTTCTCCCCGTGCCTGCGTGGGTTTTCTCCGGGTACTCCGGTTTCCTCCCACATTCCAAAAACATGCATGACAGGCTGATTGAACACACTAAATTGAGGTGTGAGTGTGAACGCGGATGGTTGTTTGTCTATGTGTGCCCTGCGATTCGCTGGCGATCGGTTCAGGGTGTCCCCCGCCTACTGCCCGAATGACGGCTCGGATAGGATCCAGCACCCCCCGCAACCCTTGTGAGGATAAAGTGGATCGGAAAATGGATGGAATTTTGTTACTCGCGTCCTCCAACTTTTTGAAAGGTGTATAATGAGTTTATGTGGAGAGTCTAGTTTATTTCCCCAGTGGAGCTTGTAAATGCATTTGCAGTGATCAAAAACGCAATGAATCCAGATGACCGGTTAGATTTGCCTCATTTTTTTACTTAATTTTGAGCAACCAATGTCGCATTATGGAATCTGTTTGTGCAATACTTGCTGCAAAGAACAGGTTCAAACAGGGGGGGTGGAGGGCACACTCATTAGCATGACATGCATAAACAAAAGCTTTGAAACAGACTTTTAAATTGTGTTCCCTGGCGAAATCCCCCGTCCTCTCCCAGAACGGGGAGGGCATGAATGGATGGGCCCCGACTGTTGAATGTCATTCCAGTCTTTTCCTTTATCAATATGTGATGAGAGCTTGGAAACCAGAGCTGGATGACAATTTACCAATGGTTCAAAGAGGTTAAGGTTACCCGCAATGTTCGTTTTGTGACGAATGAAAAAGCCTTGGGATTTTATGGGTTTATGCGCCATTCAGGAAATGTCATTTATCTGCGATCTAACATGTATCTGCCCGTAATCACGAGTGCTCAGAGGACACGCCAAGGCTATAAAACAGACTTTGGACATTTTCTCACCAGCACTCCTTCTTTTGTCCCCACTTAGAAGGGGGTCTAATTAGAGTGGGACCCACCATCATGTGTCTTATCTGCTCCTCCCCTTGAATAGCTCTTTGGCTATCCCCAATAAATAGGGAACTGAAGTCTCTGTCAACATGTCACATTGAGAGGCGCGCTTCTTTTGCAGGGCTGGCTGACCCTGTTTATGTGACACTAATCAGGCTCGGCCCAGAGGGTGCCATGATGGCAATAAACGACCACATATTCCATCTTCTGCTCTCTTTTTGCCTTTTCCCACCTCTGTGACCAATACGCGCACACACACACACACACACACACACACACACACACACACACACACACACACACACACGGATTGGTCCGCAGCCTCACTCATGGGCACCAGGGAGGAGGTTATAAGCCATTAAAAGCAAGCAGTGATGGCCACACTTGTTTCTCCATTTTTTTTTTTTTTTTTTTTTTAGCAAAGTCCGCGTGCTGGGCAGTCCCGGCCTCTCATCCAATGGCCTTGTGAATAGAACCACGGGGCTCTGGCTCCACAGAGATAGTGTTATCTGGGCCACCACGGGGCTCCCGCAGCCACCGAGTACACACACACACTCAGTGGGCAGCACAACACATCAGCAGGGGTGCAGACAATGAAACCTGCGGCGCTACACAAATATCGCGGGTGTGTAATGAAACGGCGCCACACGTGACGCAGACGGTGAAAATCGGGGTGAGGGTGGGGGGGGGTGGTGAACGTTTGACTTTTTTTTTTTTAGCCACTCATCTCGATCATGATGATGTTTGTTCTTGCATGGAATGAGCTGTCAGAGTATCGGTTTCTCCATCAGCTGGTCATTGCGCACGCTCACAATAAGAACTTGAATCTGATTGTAATAGTCGCATGCTGTTTCAAAGAATCTGAGTTATTCCACCCATTCCCGGAGATCTCCACACATGACCTGCCGCCACCGGGAGCTGTGAGCCAGGCAACAATTTCAATTAAAAAGAGATTTGAGGTGGAAAAGCGCATTTTCATCTAATGTGGCTTGGGAAGAGGTGGTCGCTTTGGAAGAGCTTTTCCGACAGGAATGATCCATTGCAGGGCGCCCTTGATCGACACGAGACACAATGAACTGACGGGCAAGAATATAATAAAGCCATTTCAACTTTCTTTCCTCATCCTCAACAAAATGGAAATGGATAATTACCATCATTACTGACCGTAATGTGAAGCGCTTAGTCTGTCTCCTGAATAGTGAAGCACGACATCATAAAGTTTGAATCTAATTATATATTCATAATGTCTTTTTTAAAAGGACTCACGCTCACCGTGCAGCCACGAGTCAAGCCGTGTATTTCGAGGTAAGTCACTCAAAAGACTACTCACGATTGTCCTCGCATCTGCAAAGTTGTGAGGAGTAACGGTTTGAATTTGAAATGTGACTTTCAATCAATCACACTTGAAACAAAATCAAGTGTATATTTTTTGTGACATCATTCAGCCATGCAGGTTGATCCTTTGTGTTGATCCTATCACATCATTGCATTTTTTGGGTCACATGAATGACAGACAACGCCAAAAATCATCGGGGAAAGGCTCAACTAATCCCAAATGAAGACGAGCTGGAATAGAAAATGGATGGCAAGGGCACTGTTGAATTATCATTCTTTAATTGACACCATACATCGAAGCATGGTTGCATGTTCAAACAGCTCTTTTTAAAAAAGTACAAAGGAAATAACAGAAGATTTAAGAAGAAAAGAATCGATCCATCCCATACATCAATTCAAACTGGCTTTTTTGAGTTGGCTCTACGACTACTCTGTTTGATCGCAATCCAACAGCATTAATATTCACCTATGTTTAAAATGATGTGATTAAAAATTCAGAAGACAAACCCAAATTATTTCTAAAAAGTAACGAAAAAGTATCACCCAGTGACAAGAATTATCAATCAACAGATAAAGACCAATGACCTGCATATTTTTTTTATCAAAAGAATTTGGCGCAAGATCATCAACAAATGCAAAGTATATGCAACTGTAATTCAGAGAACATTTATATACAGCCAAAGGAAGCAACAACTTTTTTTTTTTTAGCCAGATACATTATTGCAAGAGTCTAAGGACGATTCGGGCCAGATTTACTACTTTGTGCATGCAAAAATAGGCGAAAAATTGATTGCACGCACAAACGGATATGGGAGCTGATCTACTAACCAGGCACAACCAGGACTGCATCTGCCAAATGTGGTAAATTGCCACAGAATGCATTTAGCATTTTCTTGGATGACAACAACCAAATTGATTCATCGGCGCATTAGTGTTTTTTTGTTTTTTTTTTTCAATCCTGAGATGAATTGCGCTGGCTGATTATCTTTAAAACAGAATGTCGGGAAGGTGCATGAAGCAAAATGAGAGGTGGCGGGGCAGAATATTTCCACTCACATAAACATCTTTGAAATGCCAACAAAAATTATCGTGACCTATCGGCAATTCAGCAGTGCAATTTTGCAACTTCTGGGTGATTAAAAGAGTTGGGACATGGGCTCAGTCACAAGAAGGAGTCATGCCAAACCTCATTTTATCTCAGCATTTTTGTGCGTGTGGGTCATTTCAGTGCACTGTGACAATCGATGCTGAGCTTTCCAAGCCCAGTTTTACATGTGCCGGCCCAAGTTTTAGACGCAATGCTAATGTTTGGCGAAATACATGCTCATGCCAATTTCAAAGAACTTGCTTTTGTGCAGTTGTGGGCTTCCTCCACATTATAAGAGCAAAATTTCTTTTCTGTAACTCAGTCATGCTCCTTCATTCAAATCATAGTACAAGACCCCAATCTTAGCAAATCAAGTGGAACACACCCACAACAGTGCACGTCAGCTGTGAGAGCGAACAGACAATTCAACGCCCATTTTTTTGGGAATTTTAGTAAATCAGGCCCTCAGAGTTGCATTGTGATCAGTACATCTAACATTGATTCGAATACCAGGAAAAAAAAAAATCAATGGTAACATCATGAATATTAGACATCTGGAGCTGCTGTAGATCAAAGTGCATAATGTTTGACTGACAAACAAGGTAATCCATTTTATATCTGCACCCCTTTTCAGTGTAGAACATTCCTGTTTTGTTATATACTGCAGTTCATATTAATATGAAGAAACACCAGTGGTGACTTGACTGCTAATTTCGACTATACATTTTTAAAGTTATCTGCATCTTTCATCATCGCACAGCATCTACATTTCAGATGGCATTTGAGATGTTTTACACCGCATTGTTAGTTTAAAAAAAAAAAAGGAAAGCCAGTTGAATGCTAATGTAGCAAAAATAGAATCCTGGTGTCTTCTAACTTGCATGACAGTGCTCAGTCGTACAGAGTGCGTTTCGAGTTTTGGGTGGTTGGGTCCTGCCAGTCAGTGTTCACATGTCGTTTCCCCCCCCCAAAAAAAACCAATAATGGCTGCAGTCCATTTCAGTTCGTTTCCTTCCGTACAGCTTCTTGAAAAACTTCACTGCATTAAAACTTTCACCCTGGTTCATCAGTTAGCAACATTCAAATCAAAGCTGCTTCACGTTCTACTGTGGGAAAGACCACGAGCTTGCTGCTAGCTAAACGTCTATTAGTCTTTCCCTACTTTGGGGAGGGAGCTGAGTAAAAGTCAACATGTGTGATGTTATTGTGTTTGAATACAAAGACAATAAAAGGTTGATCCTTGGACTGGAAATCGGGCTTTCGTCGCATAGAAATGGAACCGGGAGTCAATGATCACAGATAGGCCTCGACCCGTTCCCATGGTTGCATCTCCATAAAGAAGCCCTCATACAGGCCAAAGCTCTGATCCAGAGTTAGTGGAATGGCCTGCACCTCCTCCTTGATCTCCTCCCAGGACACCACCTCCTCCGGCTGCTCCTGAAACAGCGAGGAGGCCTCATCGAAATTCTGAAGCGGATTTTGACTCTGCAGGAGCTGATCTTGTCCGTCCAGCTGCTGCGGATGCTGCGGCGGTACGTGCAACTCCGCCATGTCGACGGCCGAGGCGACACTCATGTCCAGGTAGGCGTAGGATGACTGGGAGTGGTTCAGGTGCTGGCTCGGTCCCACGAGGTCCCCTGCGCCGCACCAGTGCCCCAGCCCGGTCGACTGCTGCCTCCCTTGCATGGTAACCTCCATTTCGCAGCCTAACGAATTCAGCGCTGTGTTCAGGTCCAAATCCTCGAAGGTGCTACAGTTCCCGCTCAGGACGTCATCAAAAATGGACGTTAGGTCAAAATCCCCCCTCAGGAGGTCTGCTTTTGGGGCCTCCGTTGCCAAAAGAGGGGACTCGGTCTCGCTTATTGCCTTGCTGTTGTTCTTCCTCTTACTGCCTATATCCTTGCCATTTTGATAAGGGCAGCTGTTCTGGGTGCTGTGGCTGCTCGGAACCAATTTGTTTGGTCTGTGAGCACTCCCGCTATTGTTGCCGTTGTAGCTGTTTGCAGACATCCTTCTACGTTTGAAGATGCCGTTGACAAACATGTCAGCATACTGAGGATCGATCTGCCAGAAGCCTCCTTTACCAGGTTCGTCCTTCTGTCTGGGGACCTTCTTGAAACACTTGTTCAGGGACAGGTTGTGGCGGATCGAGTTCTGTGAGAAAGAGAAGGAAGATTTGAGTTACGGTGGAAGAGTTGTGAGGTGTAACGCTACCCCTCCTGGGGTATTTTCGCCCAGATACATATCATACATTTCACCTATCATTCAGCTATATCGCAAAATTTAAAGTGAGCATTTCTTTTGGGTGCTTTTTTACAACCTCGATTTCACGAACCTGGAACCGAGCGGCCCCAGAATAAATGGAAGTAAAATAGCGTCCAGTCCCCTTAAAACGCCTCCTCGAGAGTAGCCGTTTAAACCGTCAGTTCCAGAATTGGCCACTATTGGCTGCTATGGTGCCATCTACAGACAGATATTTGTCACATGATTCCAACTTGCACCATAAATCTCGGCTATGACATCACGGTTGTTGTATTCAATTTAGCACTGGCATCGACCCTGGAGTTAAGAACATTCAAGAGATTATCCGAACCCATTCATTTCATTTTCTATTGCACTCAGCCTCATTCGGGTCGTCGGTAAACTGGGGCAACTGATTTTGGGCAAGAGGCATAATCCAATTTCAACTGGATACCAGCCAATAAAAGCTTCCAATTAAGCTCACATGCATATTTTGGAATGGAGAAGCAAGTCATAAGCAACAAACATGATCCATATGATGCCCTTGATGTCATTCTCCTTTCCATTTGAGGCCAAAACTCCCCCAAATTTTGGGTCAAACAATTACTTCACCAAATGAGGTGAACAACGGGAAATAAAAAAAAAAAAACTCTTATTGTGTTGTTGCGTTTGAAAGCAAAGTCACCTCATGAGGTGTTCAAAGAATCTTTGTCCTGTACTTTCAAAATATGATCAGCTGTGCTGAGCTGATATCTCTCAGGAGCACTCGTTAGCAAACACACTCAAGTGCTTTCTCCACCAAGCTCGCTGATAATCAAAATGCAAATAATCAAATTGTGTCATTTCACAACAGTTTGTCCCCCAACTTCCTCCTACAAGGATGGGGTGTCTGATCGTGGCACGAGAGTCAATTACTCTTCTCTCGCTCACACACTCGCTTATCTGACTGATCAATAATATAGAAGGTCGGCTATCTGTCCTCGGTTACCTGCCAGCTGGGCTCCGCGTGTCTGTAGTAGCAGAAATTCTCCGTGATCCAGTTGTAGATGGTGGATAAAGTCACTTTGGGTTGCTTGCTGGCCTCCATGGCCATGCAGATAAGCGAGGCGTAGGAATACGGCGGTTTGACTTTTGGGTTCGTCTTGTAGTCGACCTCCGCCGGTGGAATGGCTTGGATCGGGATCGACTGGTACGCGCTGCCGAGATGCGCGCAAGTGGAGAAGCGTGGAGCCAAAGTGGAGTCGCTCCCGGAGGTGACCGGGCTGCCGAGGTAAAGAGGCATCCCGGTGGCGGCAGTGTCCCCGGCAGGTGGACTGGAGGGGGAGTCGGTGCCCCCTCTGGGAAAGCGTTTGAGAAAAAGATGCTGATGGGAGGAGGGGAAGGAGGAGGGGGAGGAGGAGGAGCAGCAGCCCTGCGCCGCGGTCCCACCGGGGCGCTCCGGGTCGGCACTCACGATGGAGAAATTCTGGAGCCAGTGGAGGCTGGTGAGGCTATCATCAAGAGGGGGCGAGTCGGATGCGATGACCTGATCATCCGGGTACACCGGCAACCATTTCTCCTTAAACTTATTTGCGTTGTCTGGGCTCGTCAGAACCGGCATCCTGGTTTTGTGCCGAATAATCAACAGATTGACATCTAAAGTTGCGTCTTATCCTGAAAGTGACATCATACAAAATTAACACGTCAATATAATCACAGGACAGAAGCACGATGCAAACATTAGTATTGACAAACAACAGTATTGAAACCTAAATAAAATCTCGTTAAAACGAATTAAAAATCATCCAATTACTGTACTCCGTAATGTTACCTCTGGGCTTTTTTTTCAGAAGATGATGCAGTGCGTGCACCTGTTGCAGCGCGTCCTGCTTCTTCAAGGACACAAGTGGCGCATCAGGTCGGTGCGCAACAAGTGCATCGGGCAGGAGGAGGTCTTGGTTGGGTCTCTCCAGCAGCGCATGTAGAACCAGAATGAAAAGAAGAAAAAAAAGGGGTGGGGGGGGAGCCACTTAGATCACTTCCATGTCGACTCTGGTGAGCTTTTGAGTCAATACTGTTTAACTGCTGTTGAGCCAAGACGCGAGATGCCGAGGAGGAAGTACAACAAGATGCGCGTCGAGCCGAAGGAAAGACTGCCCACCGTCCCTTTAAGTGAGTGGAGGGAATTCTGATTGGCTGCTTGGCCTTGCCCTTTCTCTCCTTCCCTCTGCCTCTTTTCCAATAAGTCTATTTCCATTTCACCTCCCACCTTTAAACCAACTGAAATTTGACCTGTGTGCCTCTTGCGCGCCACACGTCCCGCTATAAGATACTTTAACACGCGTAGGAATACAAAGAAACCCCTGACTGGTGATTACAAACTGCATTTTGAGCGTTTAAGTTGGTTCAGGTGCCCACCTGCGAATGACTATCAGTGAATCACTTAACGATGTTCTATTGTTACACTGGTGGTGGTGTTCGTTCAGAGGTGGCAAAAGTAGGATAGCTACAGTCTTCTAATTTAAAAAAAAAACACACGCTAAAATGTACGAACATTTTAATTTTACTTTGAAAAACTGATCAGTTTGGTAAGTTAGCAAAACGCCCCCCCCCCACCACCACCAAAGGGGAAAAAATGTTAAAACAGTTGCGCAGCGATAATTAGAATTAATGTCTGTATTCAAAACGTATAGGCTCAAATACGGTTCAAACAAATGAAAAATAGTCCGCAACTTGACTTCATGTTCCGACGCAGCTGGCAAACAACAGCAGTCGTTCACTGAGTTCCGTTCGTAACGTCGTAACCGCTTGTGTCGGGAAACGCGTAAACCGAGGAGCCCCTCAACAGAAACGTGATACAGCATTCACCAGCGATTATGAGAGACGGCAATGAGCTAATGTGACATACAGAACTCTTTGAGACTTTACAATGCTGTTTAAATAAAAGAAAAAATAAAGTTGGTTGCACGTTGTAACAATGATGGGTTAACTATTGCACGTGTGTACATCTTGATAAACGTACAACCTATAGGTTCAGTATTAACATTTAAGCATAAAGGCCGATCTATATATCACCTTTTTATACCTATATGTTTATTAACATACGTTTTCTATGTTACTGTTTATTTCTTTTGGAATATGCAAAGCTGAAAACCGGCTTTAAACAATTTCTATTCGACTCTATTCTGTGACCTGGCGCGTCTTTCTGATTTGCAAGGAAACACTTCCACCTAGTGGATATATACTGCATCACAACCCCAAATACCCAACACGTGTTTTTCCCCCCTCAGTATTTGAGTGAAACAGTTATCTTCAAAATAAGATGTTTTCACTTCTTCAAACCAGAATATAAACACATGATGATTTGAGGGGGCATTGGCCGGACAAACTTTTTCTTTCACTTGTAGACAAGTCCATGCAATGACACTCAAAGAATGTGCATAAATGGAAGTATATGTCAAGCCAGCTGTCGCCTCCCGTCAAGGAAGCCTGATTTTAGCAGTGTTTCCGGGTTTGTTCAAGTCCCCGGTGAACAAAGGCCTTGCTTGGTGAGACATGCAAATGTTTGAACAGCTGCTCCTATTGTTGCCCAGCTTCTCACTGTCCTCCAGTCTACCCGTACCAGGAACTGAGCAGTGAGCACACATGCATACAGTACTGGCCACAGCGCATCTCGATGTAATGATTTGGAAAAAGGTGCTTGATGAGGGCTATTCACACCGGCATGGCAAATATCATCGACCTTTTTTTCTGTGTTTAAAAAAAAAAAGCATAATTGGCTTGAACATGCTTCATCCATCCATTCATTCATCCGTCCAATTTTCTTTAACGCAGACAAACAACCACCCACACTCACAATCACTATGAACAATTTAGAGTCTTTCCTTGAACCAACGTGGATGTTTGGGGAATGGGAGGAAGCCATAGCGAAGCCCACTAAGAGGAAACCAACGTAAGCACGAAACTTTGCACAGGAAGCCGAGATTTGAACTTTGAAACTCAAGACTGATACTTTTGACGAGGGACTAAACCGCCGTGCTGCCAACTGATGCGATACAACTGTTTAAATTTAGCACTCAGGCTGAAAGCTATGGCTGGCACGTATATGCATATCATTATGAAGTAGATTTTAAAGTGTCATTAATTTTCAAGCTTTGCAACTATTTTTATTGGGAATATTTACACACCAATAAAACGTATTGACGTTACAGTGCCTTTGGGAATTCAGAGTGTACATTGTAACTAAAGCGATGACCAATCCCCACCGCCCCGTAAATACAGGGTAGTTGATTGTTTATATCGTGGCCGTTGCGATTTATGTATAAGTTACAACGCTGTCGTCTGAGCGGAACTCCTTCGCAAACCAACTCTATTCCTAATTTGTATTTACTGTACAGTACCTTTTTATGATCAAGGTTATGAAAGAGATTGTAATCTTCACTTGACCGCCAGGGGTCCTCATTGCCAACTCGTTTTTTTTTTTATTGTATTGCTTCCTACAAACCTCCCATTGATAAAAGAGCGTTTAAAATGTCAAAAGGTGCAATCATAATCATGTGGGGTTGCTTTGTATCTCGCAGTTTGTACGAAAAGTCAATCTTTTAATCAGAATCTGACATTTCTCTGACTATAATCCCTTAGTACGCACATTTTGAACGTCTGCAGTTTAACAAAGGAAGTAGTATTGCGGGAATTACGTAATCCTAATGCCGCTCCGTTACCGCATCCTGTTGTTGGTGTGCTTGACGTTGTTCATGTCGTATTGCACAAGTCACGCGTCACCGATTTTCCTTTGCTCAAAAACAACTTTGAATGTAATTTCTTTCCAATTACTTACGGTATGTTATTCATAATTTAACTGACTTGCCTTGAACACCACCCAGATGTTTTGTGCCAGATTAGTTCAACATAAATGCACATTTGTACCTGCTGACGTTGTATTTATCGTCAATATAAAGCAATTGGGAGTGCAGAAAACATGAAGCCGATCCAGAACTCAAAAATGTCGATTCAGGAGGGACAGTGTAACATAAAAGCCGCTTTCTGCACGCATTGCTATCGGTTGTCCCTAAATTAACTCGGAGCGATGTAATTGGCGTTGGTGGATTTGTTTACCATATTTGGCAAGAGAGTGGCGCTGCGAGTGGTGGAATTGGACGAGAGCGGCCGTCATTCACAAAAGTCAACCTTCCTGGTGCTTTACAAACAAAGCGGGTCCTCGTGGGGTTTGTAGTCCAAAACAAACAGTGGCCGACAAAGCCGATAAAGTCATTTGCAGTTACTGCGTGGATTTTACTGCGTTTTTAAGTTAGTGTTTGAAATACAGATTTTTCGTTTAAGTTTTATTTTCATATATCATTAGTAATCCAAACACGGCGACCATAGACGAGTGAAAGACACGCGTGATTACGAGACCCTTCTGTTTTCGCCTACATTTCCCATGCGCATTGCATGCACTTGATTGGCTAAACTGTGCTGTCAATCATGCGAGGTCCCTGCCCACACCGCTCCTACAGTAAATATTTGTGTTTGGCCAGCCGGCTGTAATGGTGGACGACTGAACGGGAGGAAGACGGAATACAACTCGAGTGAAGAAACGAAGGAACACGGTCGGAAGTCTGCTTTTGACTTAGGACACGGGCTTCGTCGAAAATGGATGAACTTAAACATCAAGTCATGATTAACCAGTTCGTCCTGACGGCGGGATGTGCGGCAGACCAGGCGAAGCAGCTCCTGCAGGCGGCACATTGGCAGTTCGAGGTAAAGGGGGGGAAAAGAAAATGAAGTCGGCACGCGGCGACTGTTTATGTTTGCTACGTGCGGCTAGCAAGCGCCCGTGTGGCTCGCCAACCAGAACCCCCCCGCTGCATTTCACCAATAACAATCGAACGCCACACAGTCATTGTAGACATCTATTAAAAATGTAACACGGTTGCGAAACCCACTCCGTGAGTATATCCAATTAGACTTCACTCGAGATTAAATTGTATAATCCTTCCCACGCCAGCGCTGTTCATGTGTGTACAATTCTGTAATAAACGATCGCGCTGTTGTCTACCAACGAATAGCAAACCCGGACATGCATTTGTGTCGCCACATGCCTGTCCTATTGCGAAACAAGCCAGGTTTGCCCGTGGCTGTGGCTTCGCTCTCCGTTCACAACAAAAGAAAGAAAATGCAATCTAATTTTTGTTTTCTTTCGTTTTTTTTTTAGACTGCCCTCAGTGCCTTTTTCCAAGAAACAAATATCCCATATGGCCATCATCATCATCAAATGGTGAGTTTGGGGGTGAAATAACTCTTTGAAACTTCTCATTTCTTTTTTCTTTGTAGTTCAAACAATCTACGTAAGTATTGAATGGTGTCCCGCGTTGCATGAAGGGCGATCACGACCCTCACAGGCTGGGAGGGTTAGTGTGTTACTAACAATAACAAAGCACATGTCGGCCATGTTGTGCGCTTTCAGAAATACTGTAAACACACACACACACACACACACACACACACACACACACACACACACACACAAGGCCCCCAAGGAGGAAAAAAGAAGCAACTGCTAAATCACTTTGAAAAAAAAGAAATATATATTTTTTTTAAATTCGGAAATTTGTTTTAGTCCGGAGCGGAAAACACACACAGTTTCCTGGAAGAGGGGCAGTGCCTTTCTCAATAGTCCCACTGTGCTTGTATTCATCTCATATGCTTATTGCTACTCCCCCTCACATGACACATCGGCAACCTTGGGGGGGTGGGGGGGGGACATGATTGTGGGGGAAAGTGGAAGTCGTCTGAGCTACATAAACACACTCACACTTCCCTGACTTAGGAGTCCCATTCATTTCGTGACCAAAGAAAATTTGCTTTGTATACCGAAAGGCAATGTAAAGCGATGCAGTGTTATAGTGTAATTAAGGCAAAAGTCAAGCGCACACAATTGTATTACGGTGTTGA